AAATCCCTTCTCTAAAATTGACTTTAAATTTAAGAGTGCGACCAAAGGAAATGTGTTACTAGAAATGAAATATACTCGGATAATGGTAGGAGCCGAGCTATCTCAAGCGTTGGTTAAACGTTTACCAGAGAATTGTTCTTTTTGAACACACGGAACTCCTTCTGTAAGTCGCCGACACTCGAGAACTCTTTGTAAATATGCAGAGATTGTTTGAACAGGAACAGACGAAACCAGATTTACTTAATTTCGGCTTAGGGCGGCGTCAATTTGTATTTAGATTACATTAATATCATTATTAGTCACCATTATTAATATAGAAATGGAATTAAATAGGGAGACTGGGTCATGATCCCCCATCTGAGCCCAGCATCGATTTGTATATACAGCCGGGCTCAAGATAATATGTTTTTGGTCAATCATCATTTGACAGGCCGTTTGGAAAGTTGCTTACCTTCCGCATCGCAGACCGAAAGGGCTTCACTATCGAGCTGCTCGTGTAAAAAAATATTATTATGTCAAATATTAGTTATATAATTAAAAAACAATTGTCGTGCAAAAATATTTTCTTTATATATTTTTTGAGATTATTGGAAAACTTACAGCTGGTACAAAGCAACGGCTACTTACAAGTTTCTACTTAAGTTGGAAAAGGAAGAAAAAATACTTATTTATAATTTCAATATGGGAACCTAATGTCTCACAATACATATTAGGTTCCCAAATTGAAATTATAAATATGTGATTTAAATGTAAATTTTCTTATTAAAAACAAGTTTTTTCATTTGTCTATACAAAAACTATGATTGTTGGACCATATTTTTTTTCACGCAGGCAAAGTGGCGTGAAAACGGCTAGTTTACAATAAAACAGTTATCAATATAACAAAAAAAAAACTGTAGGTAATATTAAGCTGACAGTTAGGAATTTTTAACGAAGGTTATTATAACGAAACTTCAAATTTTCTCAACCAAGTTTCACAGCACTTCAGCTAATTTATATTTAATGGTAATAAGTACGAGCGATATTATGTGACAATAATATTACTGAAAAATAAAACGTGTGAAATAACTGTTGTTAACCTTGAAAGTATAACTTGTATTTATTATAACCTAATTTTACCACGCAGCTAACTGCGTCTACCGTATATCTCTTGAAAGTTCTATGGCTCAAAAGTATTTGTACAATATATAATAAAAAAATATTAAAAAAATATCTAGTCGTACTGTTATACGATACATACATATACATACTATAAAATTTAGAGCTACGTAGTTACTGGATAAAATAAACTCATTAAAATTCATTAGGTAGGTATCGATTATTTTGATTTTGCTTTTTGTTTATTATTTTTTTGGTAAATCAAAATGAATTTTTGGTCAATTGGATAAGCAACAGTAGCTAAAACAGCAATCAATAAATTATATCAGGATTGTTAAGTTTTTATAAGTAATGTGGTAACAAGGAAAACCATTATAAATTAATCTTAAAGTGAAAAATCCCTCCTCTATAAAACAACAAAAATATGGCCTATTGTTACTTTGTTGCTGAGACACAGTACGAATATGTATAGGAACATTGCATCTTATATTGCATGTTTTTCATTCCGTTTAATCACCACCATTTCGAAGGTAACTCTCCCACGTATATGTATAATAAACTAAGACTTTGTGAATTCAAATAGAAAAAAGTTTTTACATTGACCTTCCAAGCTTCAAATGTGCAAATAGTGAATATGGTAAAAGTTGAAGTGACAGATATAAAGACTTCTTTGCCATGACGTTTTTTATATTTGGTTACGACCAATTTGCGACCAGTCATTTCTCCTGCAATCTGAAATCAAGTCTTATTACAATTGTAAAGGAATACCGCAGCAGTGTGTTTATTTATTTGTTTGTAAATTTTACAAAAAAAAAAAAATATTTATTTGATTATTAAAGTGTTAATATTGGTACGTCTATACAAATTGGCACAAACTTTTGATTGGTTTCGTAATTAAAAATGAGAAAAGTATAGGCATAATAATAATAATAATGTTTCTTTATTATCTTATACAAATAAACGTGTAATTGCATACAATATAGAGCTTGTATTGCTTGTATAATATGGGGCTTGTACTTGAGTTTAAAAATGTAATTCATCATCATCATCAGCCCTTTTACGTCCCCACTGCAGGGGCTCAGGCCTTCCTTATGGATGGTTAAGGAGGATGGGCCATGACCCTCCACGCTGGCCCAATGCGGATTGGAGGGTATTAACGACTGCAAATGCAGCCGGGACCAACGGCTTAACGTGCCTTCCGAAGCACGGAGTATCTCGAGATAATAATTTTTTTGGTCACCCATCCCGTGACCGACTCTTGCGAAAGTTGCTTAACGACTACGATCACGGGCCGCGGCGCTAATCCACTACGCCACCGAGCTACTACTTAAAAATGTAAAGGGTATTTGATTGGATAAAAACATGAATTTATATTTTTTTTTGTTTAAAAAATTCGAAGCTGGTTCAAAAATTCACTATTTCATAAATACGTAAGGCTAGTTGACATTTTTTATTTTATAAATAAATAGTCCAGTAATATCTGAGAAATATATATTTTTTAATCTCTTTCTTTGAGGGTTTTGTCACGCAGTGACCATCATATCCTAATTATATATGCATGTTATATTCACAATTTCATAAATACGTAAAGCTAGTTGACATTTTTTAATTTTATAAATAAATAGTCCATTAATATCTGAGATATCTTTTTTTAATCTCTTTATTTCTTTGAGGATTTTGTCACTCAGTGTACATTGCATCCTCGTTATATATGAATGTTGAACATTCTTCGTTTGAGACCTAAAGATACTATTTTTAGTAGCGTCTTAGCATCTCCAAAAAGAAGAGAGGCTAACATACTATTACATACATCTACTTCAAAGCAGTGACATTTCTAATATTAAAAAACAGTTTCCTTACATTATCATTCCGAACACACGCCATCATAATGAGACTTGCATCTTCTATTATTTTACATTCAGATGAGAAATAATGTAGAAGTTACAGCATGTTTGCGAATAATAGTTTCGGAGATACGGTGCTACCTTTGTCGAACTGCTGCTAGTCGGCTGAAAATACTCCCTACAAATTCAAGGCAATAAGTGACGTCACTTAAATAAATATTTTGTTAAATGTTTTTAAGTTAAAATGGTTCTTATTATAAGTTAAAAGTTAAATTGGTGAAAACCTGTAATTTCACTTGTAGGATACAACCATGACATGCACTATGATGTGTTCTTATTTATTTAATTGGCGGGCCCGTTGATTTCGTCTCGTTTTTTCTTTGTCTTTAGATGCAATCAAGGTACTCGTATACTCGCCTCCGAAGAAACTAACTTTCTTTACAATGAATGATAGGTGACCTTACATTTACGATTCGCGGCGTACAGTCTACAGCACGTATGTACGTGTAAAGTCAATATCTATAAGTAGAGTAATTAATTAGTAGAGATTTTTAAATCAATAGCGGAAAATTGAAATATTGTGGTAACGTTACGTGCTGCCGAGTGTACATGTGTCTGATGGTTCATATGTTTTCAAACAAAGAATTTTGAAATTCCTTTCTTTCGCCGCTATTTATTTAAATAAAATTAATAAAACTTTTTTTTGTATATGCCGTAACCTTAGCTGACACTTCTATATTGGCATTTACTAATGGTAAAGCGGTTTCTACATATTCGGTTACTATTTTACCTACGACTTGAAAACACTTATCTAAAGCAACTGTGTCAATATTGTTTAAATATGTATTGTAATTTGTCCTATTCGGTTTATTACACAGAGTAAAGTTGGCTTCGACAGTTTACTTGTTGCGGTATTTAACCGTTGATGCTATCTGCATAATGTGGTCGTCAGAGCCGGGCGTCGCACGATACTTCACCTCGTTATTATGGATTGGATTTACATTTTAACCGCATGCGCCCGTATTTCCTATTTTGTTTAAATTAATTTATAATGCAATTTAGTAGTGCTATCTTGGGGGTGTATTTCAATAATTAAAAACGGTGGCTTATTAATTAGAGGTGACGTATGCTCGGTATATTCGTATAAATCGCTGTACACAGTTCGTTAGATATTCAAACAATGAGTTCATTAGCGCTGTAATCGCTGCGGTATTCGACCGGCTGTGGACCAGCTGCAGTAAAATACACACGCATTTAGCCAAGTGCCATTCCCGTTTTTTTGTTGTTGTTTATAATTATATTGAATATATATATGAAGTACTACATATACTTACGTAATACAATAGAGTAGAAGCTAGTAGTTGTACTAAGACATAAATGATGACCTAAACATACCTAAAAATGACTTAAAAACTAATCAACTTTCGCGTTGCGTTGCAGTAATATGTAAACGGCGGGAATAACTGTCCAGGTGGGTGGAAAAGCCCAAAATATTATTTCTTCTTTTAAATACTTAAAGTAGAGGTCATTATTAAACGTTTGAGGTGGGTGGCATTGCGTGAGATTGCGTTTGCGCCTTAGGGTACGTGTTAATAGCGTTCTATAATCACAGTATTAACAATGTGCTATAACGGTTCATTATGATGCCTCATTCTAGCTTAATTCTATCTTCTAGCGTAATTATCTGTATTTGACTTAAAATCAGAGATAGACAGGCTTAGTATCAAAGATATCTGACGCTGGCTACAAGTATAACTCTGAGCGACTATTATGTATTATATTTTTACCCTAATTACCCTAATAAATAGAAAAACACTATTAAATTTAAGGTTTTTAGTTCTGTATCTGTAATAGTTTAGGTAGATTATTTGGGTATTAATTTAATATTTTATTGTTTCATATAATACAACGAACCAAAAACACACATGTAAAACTACCTGTAAAACATACAAATACAGGTAAAATTTGTGATCTGTCCACAAATTAATTTTACAGTTACTGTAAATAATATTATTGAGGGTTTTTTCCTTTTTATAATTGCTATTTATTTTGTTTCAGATAATATAAGAGAATTCTCATGTGGGAACCTCTTCTATCGCACCCTTTATATGAGTGAAGAACTGAATATTTTATATGTTGGTGCTATGTAAGTACATTTAATTTAATAAGCATAAATTTGAAATTCTTATTTTAAATGTGGTGGTGATTATTAATAACAGATACAAACAAAAAATACATAGATTGACATGTAAATACATAGATTATATAAAAAAAATGACAGATAAGCTTTCAATGATTTTTTCTTATCGTGAATGAAATATATACCTTATGAATAGTACGTTAGTAGTGTGATCACGATTACAATTTATTATCTTGTCCAGTTCACACTTTGATTTTAAACTATAAAACATTCTCAGTAAAATTCCCGTTTCAAATACACTTTACAGCGTGTCAATGACTTTTATTGTTTCACAAAACCTATAGTCAGGCAATAACATCTCAATATACGAGTAATACGAGAATGATAATAAATTCTTGGCGAGATCCAGCATTTTAAAGGCCTTTTTCTTATTTCCAACCTTAAAAAGTGCATACAGATTTATTGCTTTCGTTTAAGTGAAGCTACGAGATACATTCTATATTAAATTAGATTGTAACTATAAATTTCTACATAGACATTTCAAATGGAAATTATAGAGGAAATTGATACTATAACTATCTACATCTTTAAATTATTATGACAATATGATAATATAAAATTTATTTTCGTTTAAATATATACTTAAATTTAAGATACATAATTTATCGAAACGTTTTCATGTTAACTACTTTTATACGGAATATATTGATATAATAATATGTGCAAGTTGTTTTTTAAGTAAATGCAGTAGACGGTTTTGTTGAGCTATTAATGTATGTTTTTATATTCATTTATTTGTAATTTTCATTCACACAGTAAGTATTATCGGGTAAAATTGAAAAGTAACACTCAAACTTTTATCCATATTCTTGCTAACAAAACAATAAAAAGCTGCTAAAGAAACAGAAAATAGTAGGAAAGAAATTATTTTACTAAGTGGCGTAATGGAAGGCCGACTATTCTGCTTAATTTATACGGCCCGTTGAGCAAGACTTGAGCAAATAAAATAAATAGAATGGTCGCATTCAGCGCATATGCTCCTCCGGCCACAAAAAGTGCCAGTCGTTCCATTCCGTTGCGGATTGTCTAGTTACTCATTCTACTCTTCTTTTATTTACTACAATTAAAATTCAGCTGAGAGAGATTTTTCAGAAATAATATCGTTTTTATTTATCGAAATTTAACTAACGATTTTTTTACAGGGATCGGGTGTTCAAACTTAACATGACAGATATAAGTCAATCACATTGTGAGGTAATTGTTTTATAATGTTTATTAAATTTTATAATTACTAGATCTAACTTGTTTCGTAAAGTGAAAATGGTACATTTTTCTTGTGGTCGTTAAGAAGAAAAGTTCTGAAAGGCCACTTTTCCGGTACTACAGTGGATTTTTAATGCTCGCGCACATAAGGCTTTCCTACATTTCCACACCTAAGTGTCATAACCTTTTGAAAGGCAAAACTCTTATGTAAGCGCTGCACTTTTTACTTGCAAATTTTACTTCACTTTTGTGCTAAAAGAAAAATGAGGAATTAAAATTTGTAGATACAATTTTAAAATAAAGGATGCACTTTAGAGTTTTTATTAAAGCTCATATATATTGTTCTTTACGTTATTAAAATGAAACGGTGTTTATGAATGTTAGTTTTAACATACATCGAACAATATCTTTTACCTGGCGATAGTATTATCATTGGCGAATCATTTATTATTTTTCTAATTTTTGTGAATATGACAGACATGTACTTATTTTATTATATTTTACAGCGGGATGCTTTACTATTGGAAGCTAGCAATGTAGCAAGATGCGTAAGCAAAGGCAAATCAGAACCTTTCGAGTGTCGGAACCACATACGGGTATTACAGCCTATCGGAGACGATGAGAGACTCTACATATGCGGCACCAACGCTCACAGCCCTAAAGATTGGGTGGTATACGTAAGTTTCAATATTGATTTTTGATTTGTTTCAAATACACAAGCATAATTGCTAGTTATATTATGTATATTATTGTACATATAAGGAATGTTTTCTATACAATGCTGAGTTTAAGAAACTTTCGTAAGGGACCCCATATGATGGGCGACCAAAAATTTATATGACGTACACATTAGTCAAAATCTGTGTTACCGACGGCAATTACAGAAATATTAACAGTATATCGATAATCGATAGAAAAATAACTAAATGAAAGAATGAAGCATTCCTTACGTATATACTTTACTTCATTCATTATAACATAAGAAAAAAGAGGATCACATAAGCAGCATGCAGAGCATTTTATTTTCATATATTATAGTTTTGTTGAAACTGTGAACATTAGGTAGTCTGTAAAAGTTGGGCATTTTTCATATTCTCGGGGTTGCGATGAGGCATTTTTTAAATTCATATTTTACTCCCAAGTCAATATGGAACTAAAACTATCTGTTGTTTTGATAAATTCTAATCGTAAGTGTATATAATTAGAATAGAATTTAGTTTTATCAAAGCCCAGGAAAGAAAGGTAAACAAAATGTTTTTTTTTATTATTACATATAAAAAATATGTTCAGATATTATTTGGCTTTTGATTAAGACAATAAAAAAACTGGTCAAAGGTGATTGTTGTAGGCCACTCGGGCCTACACCGGAATCATCCATATTTAGCCAAACTTAACATCAAAAAGAAAAGAACTTTAAGAAAACAACAATAAAACAATAACAACTCAATCACGAAAAACGACAAAACAATCTTTTAAGTTAGTCAAATACTCATAAATTTGTATAATAGTTAGCTTAGACGACAACGATTAAGTTGGTATTTAAGTGAATATGTAGCAGTCAGTCTTAAGAGTAGCATGATTGTTAATATTTTGTCACAAAGTATATCATAAAAAGAACCTTATTTGACTTCTGTCTAATGCTATAATGAATGGAGTTTAGTATATTAATAGTATTGTTATCTTTTGGTAACTTCTTTTATATTAAAATGAACTTAAAAAGAGGTATATGGATCACCGTTTCTCAATGTGTACTACGCGGAGCCTTAGGACTTCATAACTCTTGGGATTTTGACAAAAAAATTGATTATAGATTTGGGCAAATGATCGGAGTTATAATTCATTGGTAGGTAAGTTGAGGTTTATTTTAGAGGAGGTTTATGTTAATGTTTGGTTTCTATAAGGGTGCCATCAAAAAAGAAGTTATAAACCACTAAAGTAGATAATGCTAGTGTTGGAATTAGCAATATTATCGATAAATAGCAACTATGGATGAGTACTATACTATTTAGTATCAATACTATTCGAATTCTTAAGATCAGTTTTGGGCACAGTCAAGTAAAAAAAAAAGTTAAAATGGGAATGAAAAGAATAAAATAGAACTAAAGTTTCCATTTTAGATTTACTCTTACATTGAAGACCAACTACACGATAGCGATAAAATTCTATAGAACTAGAAATTGCAAGCTTGCTTTACGATCTCGGTAATCTGCAGTAGCTTATAGTGAATAAGACCAGCTTAAGTTCTGATGCCTGTGATTTTGGTACATAGTAATTTTCAATATTCAGTTTTTATTCGATACAATTCAAGTCTAGGGTAACTTATGGAATTTATTTTAGTGCTTGACTTGAGAACCTTTCGTCTACGTGCGGATTTTGTAGCCCCTAGGGAGTGGTTAAGTGGTTCTCTATTTGTAGTAGTCACACGCACATCTCTACTAAGTAGTCTATATTAGTTAGTTAACTGACACGCCCGAGGATCTAAGAGTTTTGTTACTATGCTGTTATCATGTACGTTCGATACGTAATTTCACTTCTAATAGGTAAAGATAACATAATAATATTTTGTCTACCTTAAAATTGCTCATAGTATTATTAATTATATAGAAACATGTAATTTTCTGGATTCAAATAATATGTTTTTCTTCAGTTAAACCTCACGCATTTGCCTCGTCACGAGTACATACCAGGAGTAGGTCTTGGTGTTGCCAAGTGCCCGTATGACCCAGCGGACAACAGCACCGCAGTGTGGGTCACAGAAGGCAACCCCGGCGGCCTGCCAGCGCTCTACGCGGGGACTAACGCAGAATTCACCAAGGCCGACCCAGTCATCTTTCGGAACGACCTCTTCGACTATAGAACTGGACAAAAAAAGTTTAATTTTAAGAGAACTTTGAAATATGACTCCAAATGGTTAGACAGTGAGTACATACAATTCTCATCAGTTTCATAAATAATAATAGATATTGGAACTATATTTTGTTTGACTAAGCTTCTAAAAGTTTTGTGCGTTTAAAGGTTTAGTCATGACTTATGAATATTTACAAAGTCTATAATTTTTTGTTTTTCGAGCTATAAATTATTAAGGATTTTGAATGCTACTTTAGTTTATAATAGGTTGTTTGTTTCAGAAACAAATTTTGTTGGCTCCTTTGATGTTGGGGAATATGTGCTGTTCTTTTTCCGTGAAACAGCAGTAGAGTTTATGAATTGTGGAAAAGCAGTATACTCAAGGGTGGCCAGGGTTTGTAAGCATGACACTGGTGGCAAACATATTCTTAGTCAGAATTGGGCCACTTATTTGAAAGCGAGATTAAATTGCAGTATTCCTGGAGAGTTCCCTTTCTACTTTGATGAAATACGTAAGTAAATTAAGCGATACAAAGAATTGTTTGTAATAAAAATCTGCTCGAATATAAAGAGAATTAATTAAACTCTCTTTTCTACTCAACTGAATGATATCATACGTAATATTATAAGTTTACCAGTAATTTATATTTATACTTACATATATTTACCGCACTGAAATATTTGATCTAATTCAACAAATGCATGCAGAAAATATCAAACAAGGGGTATTATTTATACTACCTGATAAGATATAATTTTGATTTGTTTCAATAAAATTCAAGTTCTGGTTATTTAATATAGAAAGCGTGTATCAAATGCCTGGAGAACCGAACAAATTCTATGCAGCGTTTACTACTGGTGCCAGTGATGGTCTCGTGGGCTCTGCTATTTGCACGTATAATATGGAGGATATACAAGAGGCATTTGGAGGAAGATTTAAAGAACAGGTAAGAAATATTTCTCTTAAGATTATGACATGATTTCAATAATTCCAAAAATAATATGTTAGATACAAGATCATGCTATTAAATGACTTTGGTATTGGAACAGATACACATAAACTATGTAACTATGTGCCATTAAGTATCTTATTTACGTACAGATTACATTTCTTACGCTACGGTACAGTACAAAGCTGTCCTAGTTAAACAAATTTAATATTTATTGTTACTGGTTTCTCCAAATTGCGCTTGTTATTTTCTGAGAAATTAGACCAGTTCTGAGCGTTAATAAATTATTTAAAAATTATTACTCCTTGTAACGGAGTCATCGCTTTGATGCTGCGGAACCAACTTGCGTCGGAGTTATAATGGACCGGAGGTCTCTCTCTGAATTATTCGTTTCAAATGATCAAATACGACTTCATGACACTTAATTTGTAAATCGGTTCAGGAATGAAAAGCTTAAAACTTTGTTGTCATAATAGGCGTAGTACTTTTTTAAGGACAGCTTTTTGTAAGATAATATCGAAAAGCATCAATAAATAACGTCACACGTTTAGGGGGAGGGGTTGCTCGTAAATTGGTGTGACGTAATGTTTTATTTCCACCAACATCTCCAAAATACTGAAGAGTTTATTGATCCAATAGTTTCTGATCAAGATTAGTATAGCAGATATTTTTCACAAGACTGCTATTGCTTGCGACTTTATTTTGAATATTTTCGGAGAAAAATGACGAAACTGACTTTAACCGTGGAAGTGAAAGGATGTAAATATTGGAGAAAACTTGATCATACTTATATATTCGATGCAATCGGAGGGTAATGTCAGAGAACCCAAAATTAATATTGACACCTCGATTTTTTTTAACAAAATCAGAAAAGAGTTTTGTACGCCAAGAAAGTGAACGATGTGTATAAAGACCTTTTGATGTGGCACTCGGTTGGCTATACTAGGGAGACAGTGAAGAGATAAAGAAAAAGTTTTACGTTACCGTGTTAAAGAAATAATGTTTTATTGTAGGCCACGTCTAGTTCAGCATGGCTGCCAGTGTTACGTGCCCGTGTACCAGAGCCACGTCCAGGCACCTGCGTCAACAATACTGAAGCTCTGCCCGATAACGTGCTCAATTTTATCAGGTAACAATTTTTTTACGCTTTTGTATTTCATATTACCATACTAAGAATAATTATAATAAGCATTAGGTCAACTGTAACTGAATGGAGTAAATGTTTAAACATTCAATTGTATTATTTCTCTAAATAAGTAAGAGAATAGTTAGACTTTATGACCTGAAATAAAATAGACGGCATGCGACATTAAACTACTTGTTCAGAAGTGCACTTATTTTAATTGCAGAAGAAGTAAAAAAGATAATTCACTTGCTGCATATTACCTCATAAAATTGTATAAGCATTTTAATGTAGATCTTGATTAAGCTACGTAACAAATTAATTGGAAGGATTTCAATTGTAGGTTTTAAATGTGAACAATATTGAATAATTAAGCTTGATATACTTACGGCAGGTGTAGCGTATAGCCTCAATGGAGGCTATTGAAAAGCCAAAACGTTCGTCTTGTGCTCCCGTAGGAGTAATCTCAATAAGACCTCACATTAGTTTCGTAGAGCGCGTGCTCCTTAATTGGGTCGCACTTGCGCGCTTTAATTGATGACTCGGGGAAATCTGAACATACCGAACCTGGTTGGCTTTGGCACAGTTTTACTTCAGTTAATTTACTCCCATTTAGTTTTCTATCACGTGTTTCAATCCGTTTTACGTCTTATAAGTATACATATTGTTAAACACATATATTTTTAGCTACGCGCTTGTTGTATAAACGTCCATTAAGGTTTAATGAAAAAAACATTAAGCACTTATAAATATAATAAATTTAAAAATTTAGGATATTTATTAAACACATATATTTGTAGCTACACGCTTAGTTGCATAAACGTAGTTGCGTAAACATAAAATTAAGGTTTAATGACAATATTAAGATCTAATAAATATTCTAAATTTGTAAATTTATATCAGTAATGTGGCTTCAATCTAATTACAATTTTAATGACTGTTTATGCAACTGTGTGTTAAACTGTTAAGGATCACATTTTCGATTGTAATAATTATATCCTTATACTCTCACAGTGCTTATGCTTATTAATGAACAAGGTTTAGCATCTGAACAAATTTACGCTACAATTGCAATTTAAGTATCAGTCCAAATTCATATTATACTACTACCTTCTAGGAGTAAAAATGACTCCCGTAGAGCCTCGTACTAGGTTAAACTTTGCTAAGTCTTCTATTTAATAATATGAATTTTGAATAATACTAAATGCAGTCTCAGCGTAATTTACTCCAACGCTAAACCTTCTTTATTAATAACACTGTAAGGTAAAAAGTATATAAGTTTGGAAAAAGCTCAAATGGTAACATATTTTAATAGACTACTAGATATACACAATGAATTCTACGAAATTATTTATTGATGTGATAACTAGACCACTTAATCAATAAATAGTTTACTACTCTAAATATTGTTTGGAAAGTATAGTTATGTAAATGTTAGGTATTTTTATTTCGGTGACGTGTTGTTTGTTACTTACCGAAATTCGAGTTTGGTGGTCCCTGTAGACTTTTACGAATTGACCGTCAGTTTGTGTCAAATTAAATTTGGAGTAAGATAAGCATTTTCTTTTCATGAAGTGTATCGATTTGGAAACTTGAGATATTTCAAAAATACTGACTTGAATTTATTGAGTTTTTTTTTCTCTTACATAACTGAATTTCGACATTAAAATCTTAGGTTATCTTAAGAGCTCGATGGCGGAGTGGTATACGCGCTTAGTCAGCGGTTGTTAAGCAACATTCGCGAGGCTGGACATAGGATGGGTGACCAAAAAATTATTGCTTCAACCTTCGTGTTTTGGAAGGCACGTTAAGCCGTTGATCCGTCCTGCATCTGCAGTCGTTAACGCCCACCAATCCGTACTGCGCCCGGATATGGTTTTGTTATCCCTACTTGATTTGATCCAATTTCATCGATAGGGAAGGTCTTAACCCCAGCAGTGTTGACATTAATAGGTGATGATGATTTTATTTTAAAAAAAGTTAAATTTAGTTTAAGGTAACAGATTTTTTTTTTGAGAAATGTCATTCCGTTTCAACTGAAAACTAATTTCAATGTAAAATACATTTAATGTAATGACATAAAAGGACTAAATGTCTTATAAATTTACATAAAATAAATGGTTTCAAAGGTTTGTATTTTCAGGTCTCATCCATTGATGGACTCAGCAGTGAGACACGAAGGTGACGCACCAGCGTTCTATAAGAGGGACCTGGTGCTTACCACTTTAGTGGTAGACCGGCAGTTTGTAGATATGCTAGGAGACGACATAACGTATACTGTGTTTTATGCTGGCACCAGTAAGTTTCAAAATATTACCACAATTTTATTTTTGTCTCTGTAATTATTCTACTTTACTTTTTTAGACAACACGCGTAAGAGTTTAATGAAAATTAAGTTTAGTATATGATAAGGGTGTATTTTGTCGGATCTTTATCTGAATTTATTAGTAAATTATAAAATATTTCGTTTAAAAATATTTCAAAGTGCGTTGTTAATGCTAAAATAGTATATTTATGTCCGTATTTTAATGATAAAGTGTTAGGTAACGCATTCGTGACGTCATTTTTCACATTGTCAGTGACAAGGGATCGTACATACTTTACATAAAATATCAATTTTTAATAGATCAACTTCTAGTGCAGTGAATGTTATCCATTTTTTACTGACTATGTACTGTTAAATGTGGAATCGTTATTTCTTGAAAATAGGTCTTTAGTTTTATATATTTAGGTAATATATTTGTATTTTGTAAAATCTTCAATGTAATATAATATGTGCGTGATAACATCTATACTAATATTATAAAATGGAAATATTTAATTGTTATTTTGTATGTATTGAATAGGTTTCGAAAATACTGTATCAATTTTAAAAATTATTTCGTATACATCATACATCGCTAACATAAAATATAATAGACGCAAGAAAACATATAGGTAGTTAAAAATAATCGTCAATTTTATCTTCTGGTAAATTTAGTCGAGAAATTTAACTATCTTTTGGCTATATTACGAGTATTTAAATTGTTTGCTTTTTGGTATTCTAAAATTATACGAGAATTATAAGAATAATAATATCAAATACTATCTTATATCACATTCCAATTTTAAAGTAAAAAAAATGGTTGAAAAACAGTAGCGTAATTACAGATGCGGGGGAGGTATACAAAATAGTTCAATGGGCTGGTGGCGGGTCCCGTGTGGCTGATGTATGGCGTGCGGCCGGGACCGAGCCGGTGCGTGCGCTCGCCTTGTCCCGCCGCACGCATGCACTTTATCTCGCCACCGACTATCGCTTGCGTCAGCTTCCACTGCGAGTCTGCGCACACAGGTTAGTATCACACTCTCATTTATTTATTTATAAGGTTAACTAGCGTTTGTATATATGAATACAACATGTTTCTTACATCTAAAATACCTCATTAAATGTAACAAACTATTAAAGGTAAACACTTCATGTCATAAAGATTAGTGTCTCTCTTTAAATTAAATTCAAATTAAGGATGATGACTGATTTTTGTTTGTTAGTCCATCAAGTAGATTGTTGAAGAATATTCAACACGTATTTTTATTTTTTAGAGCAGCATTTGGTGTTGGTATCTACAGATGCAGTGTTGAACACGTTCAGGGTTTAATGGATTTTAAAACTTTCAGAAGGTTTTCAGTAGTGCTATCAATATTTATATTAATCTCCTCCGTGTATACAATCAAATTCATCTATGTTTCTTTTCAAAAAGAGGATGTGTGCCTTTTTTGTTATGTATTTTAAGCTGACTTCTCTTAGATTACCATTTTATATTTTCTGATAGGTACGATAGTTGCGTTCGATGCGTCCTGGATCCGTACTGCGGGTGGGACAAAGAAGCGGCTGTCTGCCGACCTTACGCTCCAGGTCTGCTACATGACGCCACTAACTCGACACCTTCAATATGTGAAGCGAGCGCACCTCTGCGTACAGTGCGCGCGGGGTACGGCCAGAGCGTCCACCTAGCTGCCTTCGCTAAGACACCCGAGGCATTGAAAGATCTACACGTAGTTTGGTATCATCATTCCAGGGAAAAAGGACGATATAAGATTAGTTACAAGTAAGTTGAATATTGTCAGTAAACTATATTGTTTATAGTTCAATATCGTTTATAGTTTCAATAAGATTATTTCAGAGAACCGTAATAATATCCATAAAGAATGATTTCTCGGAATTGTCAAGTGAAGCAGACAATATTTATGATAGATTTATAAGATGCTCTTAGTTTAGTTGTTATCATATTATATATATGTAGATGTGTATGTATGTATATATGTATCGTTTAGTGTATGTATGTATTGAATATTCTACATAACATATATATTATTCTGCTCTACGTAATAATAATTTTGCTTACTTTGTGATGCACCAAAGGCTACCCATCAATTATTTCAATCAATCCAGTCTAATGTACGGGTGCTAGAAGAAATTGCTTTTTAGCGATAAGGCCGCCGATTGTACTGTAAATATTTGCTTGTATTTATGTTTTTTTTTTGTGGTGTACAATAAAATATTCATTCATTAATTTAACTAGAACATTTTGAATATTTTTTTGTAATTTTTTTTTCTAAAATGACTCAGCAGTAAGTATTCTATTCAGTATTGTAACATTGCTGGTATGGGTGTAATAACTAATTATGATCGTCTGTAGTTGGGAGCGTGTCTTGCAGACGTCTGAAATGGGCCTGGTGCTACTGTCTGTGACGGACGCGGATCGTGGCCGCTACGAGTGTTACTACGGACCAACACTTGTGGCCTCATATAACTTAGACATAGATATTCACAGGTGAATATAGAACATCATATTATTATTATTTATGATTATTCTTGTGTGGTTGATAGATTGGCTTAGATTTTTCCTAGAAACAATCAATTTTTCTCTTTTTAATTAAAACTTTTAATTTAAAAAAATAAAATTAACACATTCAGTTATCACGACATGTAACAAAATTGTTGAATTAGAGATAGTTTTTTTAAAGTAATTCTTTTAATGTATCAATTCAGTTTTTAGGATGTAATAAAGGAATAGGTTGGTTGACAATTTTTTTATTTATAAATAAATAGTCCATTAATATCTGAGTAATAATGTAGAAGAAACATCATGTCAATGGTTTATTAATAGTCATAAAGTATTCATTATTTAATTAGGTGTACACAGCCAAGTAAGACCCAAGAGTACAAACAAGTTTACTCGGACTGGTGTCACGAGTTCGAGAAATATAAAAGTGCAATGAAGGCTTGGGAATCTAGACAAATGGTAAGTTCTTCATGTTGCAACACGATATTAACTGAATATCTAGACAATTCATTCAACAAATTTCTGGCCCCAATAAAAATCCGTTGATACGTTTTTAGTAATTCTTGGTTTTAGTTAAAAAATTAACTGTTCTCTGATACCGAAACATTCGTAAAATATTATCGCTTAACATTGTTAATGTTCAATCAGTTAATTGTGCTATTATAAATACGTGACTAATGTCACTAACGAGCTTAACAATTTCCAGCAATGCTCCAAAAACTTGAACGCATCGAGTCAGCAAAACAGTATGGCCAACGAGATCGTGGCGACGCTGCGGTGATAGCCTCCCGCCATTAGCCGCTAGCCTCCACCATCAGATACCCAGCCATCGGTCATTAACGCACACTCCCGTCGCACGTTTACTTAGCGTTACTACTAAATACATACACGAAATTATTTCATTCCTATTTCAAAGTTGCCATTCTAAGGTTCCTTATCGAATTTACTATCGTTGCAAATCCCGTTTCGGGGAAACGGATAGGTTATTATCCCAAAAAATGAGATGCCCCTAAGGATATACCAATAATGTACTCATGAACCTTTCAAGGAACCCTTTTCGTTCAATATAAATACTATTTGTAACCTACAAATGTTGTCTCGATTACACGATACGATTTCTAATATATGATTTAGATGATGGAATTCAAAGTTTTATTTTACAACTGGGTTTGCCAATTGACACAAAGAGTATAAGCATTAAATCAAAGATGACGTCGAATATCTGTAGTTGGGGAAATAACTGAAAGGGGGACGATAATGTAGTGCAGGGATGATCTGTTAAAATAGATTTGTTGCTCGTTCCGGAGACGGCCGCGTGATGAATCACTGACTTCTGCTCAACTTCGGTTACAACTTTTTCTTTGTTCGAGGGAAAATCGACCGGAATAATATCGAATGGTTCACGTTAGCAATCGGCGAGATTAATTATTAAAGTATTGTTGAACAAAGTGACTGAGTAATATTATTGTAAGACGAAAACTTCCTGCTGAAACTTTTCTCTGACTTATTAAACGGAGTGGGTAATAATCACTGTCTTTTCGTTTTACCACAAGTATATCTACTGATGTAAATAAAATAAATATAGGCGTTGCTTCAAAATTATGAGTATGGTTCCACCAACAGAAAATGCTGTGATATTGGTTTGCGATGTTATATTTCCATGCAATAAAAGCCTACCTGCTATATCGTGTTGTTAATACGCTCTGAATACAGAAGACAATATAACTTACTAAGGTGATTTAATATTATTTACCACGATTACGAGCTCACAGAAATAAGGCAACACGAATAAAATGTCAATATTTGTTATGTTAAAATGAAGTGATGACTTAAAGAAAATAAAGATAGCCTCGTACGGAGATGTTAGATAAAATAATGAGCAATAACTCCAATTTAGATTAAGCGTAAAATGTAATTGAAAGCTTATTATAATATTTAAAATGAAGCGTTGACGCATAGACTCGAAAGCATTTATTTATGTTAGTTTTGTTATTTCCGCGACCGCTAACGTTGCGTGTTAGACCACAGTTCCATAATGAACGAAAGTTTCCATTTGTATTGTTTTACTTTCAAGAAGTAATTGTTATTGGTTAGTTGCCATAAAATGTAATTTTAGGCCCGAGTTCGGACGCTGAAACCGAATTTAATAGTAGTTGTGTTGGTCTGTGTTGAGTTTATTAAATCTCGCTAGAATAGTGCCTTGTGAAGCATGCTTACGGTATATAGAAACTTATTAAAATTAGTTAAGAAGTATTTTTCTGTACGAATGTAAAAAATGTAGAATATCGAAATTCACCATTTAAATAATGCCTAACCGAAACATGAAATTTTGTGAAATGAGTTTGTTTACATCGATATGAGTGTTAAATTGGCATTTTTTGTGGTACATATTTTCATTCCAAAAATTTAATTTTCTCTTAAACCTAAAATTGTACGGCTGAATAATAATTATGATTTCTAATTATATCGATTGGAATCGAAAATTTTCAGTTGGTTACAAGAGTCTTACACTTTAAATCGTTGTTTAAATATTTGATTGGCCTGTTGTATGTTTTTTTTTTTATCATTGACTAGTGAATTAGAGGTTACTTTATGTACCGGTTAGGAGATGTTTAGCATCATGCGTATATTAAAGCAATAATGTTCCACTGTAATAATTTAATATCAGTATTAAATTTTGCAGCTAATAGATAAATACTTAATAAGATGGTTAATTGTAATGTTATGACTATTAATTTTTATTTTAAAAATAAATATTTCATTTATTTGTATCCATTTGATAGTAATAGTTTTTGTTAAAGCGTCAAGTGATTTTATTATACGCGTATTTTGTATCATATTCAAGGTCACTTTATATTATGTCTATATCTATTTTACCGTTCATGTTTAGGTAATTTGATTTTGATATAGTTAAAAAAAGTTGTTGTAAAAAATGTTGTATATAAAATTTTTGGTAGACAGATCGCTATTATATGTTTATTGTAAAAATAAAATGACTAAGCTATTGATATATTATAAGCGATTGTTTTATAAAAGGAAATCGGAAAATAAATTATTTTAGAATTATATATGCATTCATTTTATTTCGTAAACTATTAGTTATGATGAATATATATATCCAATCAACATCATCATCAACTTATTCGTGTTTCTAGTACTAGGGATTATGACACAAAACTCAGGTAGAATACTCGACACCCACAAGATGTCCTGAACATGTTAGGAAAAAGCATTTCAATGATTCACCAGTGCTTACATAAAGATATATTTAAATAAACAATAGTTTAATCTATTAATACCTTATAATTTGGTGAGTCTTAACGACTGCAGATGAAGCAGAGACCCCCGGCTTCGCTTCCAAAACACGGAGGAGCCCGAGATGATAATTATTGTCACCCTCAATTTCTGGACTGGTCTCACTGCATAATCAAGCCCGACCGACCATTCAGTTATCTAATATCAACAAAACATATTTATTTAATAGAAAAATAAGGTTGTCGCTTAATGGCCCACTGATTCACCGTTGGAGTGCTAGAAAGCTATGTATCATACTACATCTAGTAATTCGGTCTTTACGACAAATTTGATTTGAAGCGATTTCAGTAGGGTTTTAAATACTGTACTTATTACACGACATTATTTATTTATACTTCTTGTACAAATACAATAATAAATTCAATACCATAGATTCAATAACGAACTGAATACCGTAGACATTTTCTATTATATATAGACCTTGTGTGATGTGGAAATAGAAGGTCGGGTGCAAAATAGAAGTGAAAATTTTGTAGGAAGATACTTATATATATGTCGCATCATCTTTACGAAAATCGTTTGATTTAGTTTCTTTTATTTTAATTGCTAGTTACTCGATTATTTAATTACTCGATTGTAGAGAGAGCGTGATCATCGATACTTTTAATTTTATTAGAATGGTGACACTGACTTTGACAGTTCGTTAACAAAAAGCAATTTGCCGCCATTTTGGCACACATTTTGTTTCCGATCGCCGAGGAGTAAAGACATCCGACGACATCACACTCATCTCGTTATATTTTCGTATGAAAAGTGATAAAATGGAACAAATCCACGTTGGTATACACGCCTGCAGTGTTATTTTAAAGATAGTCCTCTGATATGGACCATCTATTTGGGCTTCATAATAGCCCCTTCGAACTACCCGCCGACATATATAATATAACATTAATATGCACAACCTCTAAATTATGCATATTAAACAAATAATAATAAAAACGACTAACGATTTGAATCAGCTTATTCCAACAGCCACTTTTTCCGTTCGATAGGATTGCCGTACTTCTATCAATTATATTTACTAGAAGCGATATACATGTCGTCTAAAACCTGATTCACCTTGAATATGCTTATTTCGACTGTCACACCTTTTTTTGATATAAATAAACTTAATAACGATTGGGAAAATTTGAATAAGCCTCATGATTATATGGTAGACTTAAGAGCAAAATAATACAATTATTTATTGCTTTCTTCAACCTTTGTAATAACAAAAAAATACATCAAAATTCATTGCTTGATTGAGAAGGTAGCTATGATAGAAGTGGAGAGTGAGTTTTTTATTCACCATCATTTTCATGTTAACTCATCCATTTAATGTAATGCTAGCTATTTACTCGCGACTTCGCTTGCGTAAATTAGGTACCTATAACCTATGTCACCTGCCTGTATAGCTTCCCGTGGGTGAAATAATTATGGAAAAGCAGTTTCAGAGCCTATTCAATCCAAACAGAAAATTAAATCTTTCCTCTTTATAGCATTAGTATAGAAGACAATTTTTGTCATATTTTCATACTTTTCATTTAAAAAAGATCTGTTAGGTATTAGGTAAGAACCTAAGGAACAATGTATGAAAAACTTTTTTTGTTCATTTTTTCCATGATATAATGAATCTCCTTAATAATCTTTTCTTTAATCTTTTTTTTGTGATCAACATGAAAACAAAGATTGTGGACACCCAATTAACTAATTATACTAAAAAAATATGGAGCCAAAGTTAGATCTACCATTTATAAAATTTTAAATTAATCGACCATTTTCGTCTTCCATAAAAAAAATAAATGTATGTGTATGTGTCTAAACAAAAGGGGTTATAGGTTTATCACTTACATTATCACGCATGGAGAAACACAGACAATGATATTATATTAATTTAATTTATCAACATAAAACATTTTATACGAATAATAAATTGGGCTAAAGTTGATCCCAAAACTTAAAAGACTTCACTTCATTTATGTACTTTTCAGTAGTAATAAGTTCTTTGTCTGATTTTTACGGGCAATGAAACCATAAACCCGGTATCGTTAACGTCGCCTATCTTAAATTGATTCACACCATAGAATTTGATTACTCCTAAGTAATTAATTGTGAATCATAAGAAAAAGACATTTAAGAGAGAAATGAATTGATTTTATTCCTTTGCTTTGTGATCTATATTTATATTGATTTGTTCTATAGTATCTATCTATATTATCCTAGATTCAAGAAGTAAAATTTCAATTCTTAGTTGTATCAATAATAAAATATTTAATCAATTAAAACATTCGTAAAGACCTAATTGGTAATTTTATACATAGTTTGAAATTTAACTACCAAAAGTGTTTCCCTATCAATTATTATATATTAGCTTAAATAATTAGTTAATTACATCGTTAGATCATAAATTACCGCAGGTTTAGATTAGATTCGATTATACCGTTTTTAGTAAGATTATAAATTGAAGATGCTCACAAAATGGTGATA